TCCTGCCAGATCATCTTGGTAGCACAGAGATCCGTATGCTGATCTGGGGCATTCCCGGCCCTGCCCTGGGACACAAGAACTTTTCCAGGCAACTTTTTAGGAGAAAGGGGCGGAGAGAGAACTTAGATATACCTGAAAAGCCCTTTTTTAACCTTTAGAAACCAAAGATACTTTTGTTGCTATCTTCAAATTCAAATTCTACCTATTCTACTCCATTCAAAAAGAAATTTATTTCAATTTTAAAGAAAACAAAAGGCCTTTTGAGCTCTTGTTAAGCTAGCTGCAATGTGTCCAATTTTATGAGACTCAGAGATAAAACCAAAATACTCATTGTAGCCCTTTATTCATAACTTAAAAAATACCCTAGGTACATTAAGTATTAAGAAGTAGTACATTATTTTCTCTCTTTTCCTTTTAAAAATCATTGCATAGGTAATTTGGAAAGTTGGTTCCTTCTTTCATCAATGAATAGTTAGAGTACTTTATCATATGTGAATAATGTGTCAGGAGTTAAGGAAACAAAGATAAATGAGACGTGAACCTTATCTTTAACAAGGTAGGAAGGTGTGTGTGATAGGTGAATGGAATATAAGCGTTAAAGTCAGTGGACTATTGCCATCCATTACAAAATAACTGCAAACAAATTTATAGTAGCATCTTACAACTGTAAAGATGCATTATCTTTCTTTTTAAAATGCACACACAAAAGTAATAAGATAAAGGCTGACTGTTGCAGTTACAAAGTATTCTGATATAAAATAATAATTATAGAAAGGTCAGTTTCAGAATAACGACAGTTAACTCATGTTGCAGGACGGTCATAGGTATATAATACAAAATCTTATTTATTTTAAATATAATTATTGTGAAGGAGAAGTAAAAAGATGTAGGGAAAATATTTTAAAAGTCAACTTACCGTGTAATAAATGCTGCTAAGGGTATAGGTATTTTTAAAGATTCCTTTTAAGTAGAAATTTCCAAATGGAAATATTGTAGTCCTTAATCCATTAGCTTATTAAGTTCAAATTTTATCATTTCTAGAATTTGTTAAAGGGGGGGCATGACTTTAGGAACACAAAAGAAAATTTTATGACTTTACTTTAAAAAAAAAATCTTAAGGTGCCTTTAAGATAATCTTTAGAAATGACAGTGCAGAATGGTTTCAGAACATTATTCAGACTCTGTCCATTCACAGAATTTTTAATATACTCTATTCCTTTTCTTTCCACTATAAAGCTCATTAGATTTTATATAATAGAACATAAAGAAAGTCCAAAATTTAGGAAAAACCTCTGCTTTTCTCATTTACCTCTGACAATGCTGGTACTGCAGTCATGCTAAATTTATCTCATACAATGATTGAAAAGTGACATTGTTAGGATTATAAATAATTCAACAATGATATCTCTCTGATTAGTATTTCAAAACAATACTTATCTCTTCCCAACCCCCTCTTGATCATCATAGATTGCATTTGTATTTGAAATCTATGATGTCTGGCATATCTGGGGTAAGGTTCTACTAGGAATTTACCAGACCTGTCAGTCTCTAACTTTCTTCCATATTTCATTATATCATTCCAGTTATAATTAGTTGTCTAGTAAAATTAAGAACAGTCTATTTCAGTGAATGCTCATGTGAACATTTAACAACTTTTTGTTAGGATGACAGCTTAGCGACAGAAAGAATAAAACAGAAGAGGAGAGCCACTGAAGTAACCTTGGGTAACACAATATTGCCAGCTCAATGGAAAATTCTAAGATTTTACATTATTTTTGTTTTTGTTATTAATCATCAAGCACATATTTCTTGTCAGAAGATGAGCATCAGTTTGATGGCACTCCTGCCTCAACTAACATGTTTTGAACTGACCTGTCTTCATTGCTATGGCTCCCTAGAAATTTTGCTGTTGATGAGCGTTAATTCAGCTGAATGCTTTGACATTCAGCTTGTCAGTGAAAGCTATTTTAATCATTAAGATGCATCTCCTTTCCAAGATTGCAAACTGTTGCTACTCATACACAATATTCTATCATTTGATTACTGTGGAGAAGAAAAGAACCTGAATGGTTACTATTACTACAGTTTATATTGAACTAAAATTTATAGACTGCTTTACCTGTATATGAGGTATTGGGTTAAGCAATACACAGGGATTGTCTATTTTAATCCTCATTACAGTAGTCTGACTGCCTGAGTTTGTATCCCCATTTACTAACTATATGACATCAGCCCTAATGTATTAAATGGAATAACAGTATCTACTTGAGAAGGACATTATCAGAATTAAATTCACCAATGGTCCTTAAAAATAGTATCTGTAGGCTCTCCCTGGTAGTGCAGCCAGTTAAAGCACAGCACTCAGAAGCTAAAGCCACTTTAGCAGGAGTTCGATCCCCAGCCCTGTAGGTGACCCACCCGCTGCTCCCCTCAGCAGGGTACTTGTCAATGGGCCTGTTCCACTCCCCACTCTGTCTCTGGTCCTCTCACCATCCCTGCACCTCTGGCCTGTACCCCAGATCTGTATGCATAAATAAATAAATCTTAAAAAAAAATAGTATCTGTAACCTAGTGTGTGCTCATGTGTTAGATGTAATTGCTATAACCATTTTGTAGATGAAGTCACCCATCTCATTTACCATTGCTTCTTTGTCTCTGTCACCTAGATCCGTAGGTAGAGATAAGAGAAAATGAAAGCTTATTTCTTTTAGGACTTTTTCCTATTGTGTATTTGGAGTCTAGCTCCACAGGAGAAAATGCCACAATTGTGGCAGGGTAATAATGATATATTATTAACCTTTTCTTTTTTGTATTATCTTTTATTTTATTATCTTCCTTCACAGGAGCCATTTCCCCTTCAGGTAGCAAGGCATACAAACTAATGAATCCTTGAATGTGATAGAAGTAATGGGCAATAACTGAAGCTTCACACAATTTTGGGAATTTCAGAGTAAAAGGATCATTTCTTCTAGGCATTAAGGCCTAGAGGAAGCAAGAGGACAGAAAACCAATTTCCCCTGCCCAGTTCTGTGCAAGAACAGAAACCTTTGTGTTGTTAAAAGTCAGATGCAAAGACTCCTATGAGGGTAGATTCTAACCCCATGAATTAAACAAGCTATGGATGTCTAAGTAAAAATAAAGTAAATATTACTGTCTTCTTGGGCAGAAGTTTGGGCTTCTGCATTTAAATGTGTGAAAATAGTTGTTTATTCTTAAATGTTATATAATATAATATCAACCTGTCCTGATAACTGCTGTATACGAAACTCCAAACCTCAGGCCTCGCAAATAAAATTTTTGTGAGTGAGTAAATCAATCGGCATTTATTTTTAATCATATGCAGTGTAACTCACTCATAACTGGACTTTTTAATGTGAAAGTTACAGCCTTTTTTGCATGTAAGGTTAAGTGGTTAGGTTTAGAATTTGAAGCTTCTGAACTGATAGTAGCTCACTGACCTTTGAAATTTTTAAGGTTTTACTCTTCTAAAAATACTTTAAGAACCTGCTTAATATTATTAGTGGCATTAGGAAGCACAATAGTTATTTCACTTTTCATGTTAATTTTCTTTTTTTTTTTAAAGAGTTATTTATGCATATAGAGCTGGGGTACAGGCCCGAGGTGCAGGGGCAGTGAGAAGATTCACCAGAGACCAAGTGGGGAGCAGAGCAGGCCCACTGACAAAGTACACTGCTGAGCCCAGCAGTGGGTGGGTTAGGAGAGGTCTGCTGGCCTCTCTGCTGGGGTTGGAGATCAAACTCAAGCTGAAGTGGCTTTAGCTTCTTAGTGCTGTGCTTTAACCTGCTGCACCACCAGGGAGGGCCCCTTTTCATGTTAATTTTCACATATTCAAAAAGATCTAGGAAAATGAACTCCTCAAAAACCCATTATCCTAATTATGCTGCAATTCTTACTTACTCTGTGCCAGCCTTTTTATATCTTTTTTGCTAGAGCAAAAAAGACATATTTCTCCCCACCTCAAATTACTTAAATATATTTGCTTAATGAATAAGGTTTTGTTTTATATACATATATGTATGTGTGTATATGTACATATATGTATGTATACATATGTACATATATAGATGTACATATATATATATATAATACTATGATACTATTTAGCTTACTTAAAATTATTAACAATTTAAGGTATATAGTTCATACTCAAATTTTTCCTGGTTGTTTCAAAAGTTTTCATATCTGCTTTGTTTGAGTCCATTCAATGTCCATGATGTTTGCAATTAGTTAATATATCTATAAAGTGTGTTAAGACATAAATTCCACCTCCCTTTTATTTTTTTTTTAAAGACATTTGTTGAAGAAACTAGGCCATTTGTTCTATAGAATTTCTCTCATTCGGTATTTGCTGTTATATTATAGTTTACTGAGTCCCTCTATTTTTTTTTTTTTTTTGTAAAAATTGTAGTTCAGTCTAGAGCCTTGTTTTGTTTCCAAGATGAACTTTATATATACTATACAATTGTCTTCTGTCAAGCATTTTTCATAGGTGGTACTGTGCATTTACTGCTGCACTAGGAGGCACATAATATTTGCCCTTTTAATGATACCACGCTTCCCTAGTGATGTAAAGGTTGTCAGCCTGATCCATCATTACAATGATCCAGCTTCCACTTAATAACATTAGCTATTGGTGAAAGTTGGCAAGATCTACTATTTCACTGAACTGCAAAACAGCAATTTCTTTCGGCATTTATTACTTATAATTCTGTAAGAGGATATTTCTTTCAAGATACCATGAAATATAATACCAAAAACTACTTGTTTCTTTTACATATTTTCAGCATATTAACTTTCTAAACTTCCAATAATGAGCAATGAGTTTTCCCCCAGATCACTACACTCCTCCCCAGCAGCACAGTGTTTTCATGTGAATTTATCAGGTCTACAACAGGATGAGAATGGACAGGCCAGTGGCAGTGCAGAGATTCAGAGTAGAAAGGGATAAGTCAGGGGAGAGAGAATACCTGAGGCAGGTTCTAGGAAGTGGAATCTGAGTCTTCTGAGCTGTCCTGGCCATCACTGCTTGGTCTCTTGTTGCCACTGCTTCTGTTATAAACAGCTGGATTTTTCTTCCGGTAGGTCTCTTCAGAGACGGGAAATGCGCGGCCCTGGGTCTCCAGGTTCTCCCTGGAACCCAACACCACGTACCCGCCCTTCTTCAGCTCTAGCTGACGTCTCAGCTCATCTGCCATCTGTGAGAGATCCCGCTTCATAGCATAAGCGTCTTCCCCATCTGCATAGTATTTGGGTTCCACCTCACTAACCTGGAAGTTGAGGGTGTTAGAATAGAGATGCAAGGCTGCCCGGTTACTCTTTCTCACGTGCAGGGACACGTATTTGGCACTGAAATTCTCTATCATGGCCCGGGAGGCCTGATCCATCAACTTCTGGGCCAGGCCAAGACGCCGGTGTGAACGCTTGACGGCCAAAGAGGTGATATGTCCATGGGGGACATCATCTGTGTCCTCCTCCATTTTGGCCAGGACATAGCCCACAATCTTCCCATCCTCATCCTCGGCGATATACGAGAGCTGGGGCCAGGAAAGGCCATGGTAGAAATAGTATTTCATCTGGTAATTCTCAGGAAGGCAAAGGAGATTGCAGTGTTGCATGTTCATCAGATCGTCTGGCCGAGCATTGCGGATGTTCATAATGGCGGCGGGTGGCGATAGGGCGACCACTGCGGTGAGGTAGAAGGTTCACAGCCCAAAGCAAGGGTCACTATTTGCCTCAGGGGCTTGAGTCCAGGGGCCCGAAGCCTCAGGGCTGAATGTTGCTGCTGGAGGATGGCGGGAAGGCAGGACAGGCAGCCGGCGGAAGGGAGGTCAGAAGTCACTTCCGGAAGGGCACCGCCTAATCCCAGCCAATGAGATTTCGCCTCATTGCAAGCGTGCATGCGCAAAGAGTAGGGGTTGGGCGTCTCGCTGCCTTGTGATCTCACTGGTTTAGGAGATGGTGTTGTTTTCTTTCAGTTTTAACTTTTTAATTTACATACCTGTAGATCAGCTTTCAGGAACCAAACAACCATGTAACCAGAATTTAGATCAAGAACCAGAACATTGTACACAAACCATAAAACCTCTGTATCCCTATTCAGTGTCCTCTGCCTCCATCTCGCTCGCATCCCAAGAGTGAGTAATCACGTAGTGTTTGTAAGAATGGTATTGTTAACACTACATTCTTCTGGTTGGTTTTTGTTTGCTTTTATTCCGTATTTGTTTCGACTGTCTACCCTGTATGTCATGAGCTCTTCATATTCTTTCATATTTGATATTATAGCACATAAATATAATGTAGTTTAAAATCTAAGTTGTCTATTGCCATTTGTTTTATTTCATTTCAGGATGGTTTAAATAATGTAGCTAAACGTTCTGGAACTTGTCTTTTTGTAAAAAATATTTTTGACATATCTTTCCTCAGGAGATGAATTTCAGGCTTAAAAATATTATGATGTGGCCCTCCCTGGTGGCGCAGCGGGTTAAAGCACAGCACTGAGAATCTAAAGCCGCTTCCTCATGAGTTCGATTCCCGCCTGTCCCGGAGGTGACCACATGGCGCGGCAGACCTCTCCTGACCCTCCGCTGCTCCCCTGAGCAGTGTACTTAATCGATCTGCCCGTTCTGTTCCCCACTCTGTCTCTGGTGAAGCCTCTCACCGCCCCTGAGCCTCTGGCATGTACCCCAGTTCTGTATGCACAAATAAATAAATCTTTTAAAAAAAATTATGATGTTCAACTTTTTTTAAAGATTTATTTTTTTATGCATACAGAACTTGGGTACAGGCCAGAGGGCACTGGCGGTGAGAGGATTCACCAGAGTCAGAGTGGGGAGCAGAACAGCCCCACTGACAAAGTACACTGCTGAGAGGAGCAGGGGGAGGGTCAGGAGAGGTCTGCAGCACCTTATGGGTCAGCTCTGGGGCGGGGATCGAACTGGCGCTGAATTGGCTTTAGCTTCTTAGTGCTGTGCTTTAACCCGCTGGTCACCAGGGAGGGCCCATGATATTCAGTTTTTAAATGCAATGCAAAAACAGTTTTCCAAAGAAGTTATTTCCTCGTCAGAGATGTTATTTTCTCATCTTTTCATTTTCATTTTAGTCAGGCTTATATGATGATGGTGGCATTACATTGCATTTCTCTGATGACTAATGTGACATCATTGTTCAAATCTCTTTATGTCTTATTTGTGTATTTTTCTCTCATTTATGTTTAAGTTTTTTTAAAATCCTTGATATGAATCTTTTGTCAGGTATTTTAGTCTGGACAATATCCTTCTCCATTGGTTGATGTTGTTCACTCTCAGTGGTAATTTTTGGCACCAAGTATGAATTTTAAATAAAATACAGTTTTCCAGTTTTTCAGATTTCATGGTTATAATGTTGTGTCAATTTAAAGAATTAATTAATTCCTGTTTAATAAACAATTACTTATTCATGTTCACTAAGATTGTATTTTATCACAAAAAATCATAGTTTTACATTTATCTTCTGATCTGTAATCCTTTAGAGATTGTTATGCGGTAGAGACTCATTTTTAATTTTTTCTTTTTGCCTTTATAGATATTCTGTTTCTCTAGCTCCACTTAATAGGTGAAAAACTAGCCTTTTCCCATCATACTGCAATGTTGCCATTGTCATAAATACTAAATTGCATTTCTAGATACATTTAAAGCACTTCATACCATTTTGATAAAGATTGGGGTATTTCTTTAACAATACAGAGAAACATATTTACTGGTACCACTTACATATAAACTGACAATAAGCCCTAGGATTTTGTATATGTGTGTGTGTGTGTATGTATGTATATGTATATGTATATGTGTGTATAATTATATATATATTCTATATATATATATATATAACTGGTGCTGAATTGGCTTTAGCCAATATAAATTACCATTGAGAGTATTGTATATGTGTCTGTGTGTGTGTGTTTATACACATACTATATATAGTATATATACATAGATATATACTAGATATACATACTATATATATACTATACACACACATATATATCTATACACACACATATATATCTTATACAATTTAATTTTCCATTTTCCTAGTATGTCATTAAGTACCTGGGAACTCAAAATAGGTAGTCTCTGTGTTTTTTGTTTATTTTACATATTAAAAGGACAGGCTTATTAGGAAAAGGAAAAAAAAAATAAAAGCACCTGCTAAGTCACAGCTGGGCCACAAGAGCTGTGGATAGTCTCTGTTCTTATATCATTAACCAGGTCATGGTTATATACTGATTTATTTAGCATTTGTGCAGCATTTCCTAGCTAAAATACCCTAAAGCCATGTGATTTTTGAAACACAGCTTATATAGTTACTATATATTTTTTTGTAATTTAGCAATTAACTGTTTTTATTAATAACTTTTTACATTTTGAGCATCTTTTGATGTTTTGATTCACTCTATACTTTGAAGAAGTAATTTCCCAGTTTTATTTATACATTTCTTTTACATCACTCTTCATCTCAGGAAAAAGGAATATGAGATTTGTGATGATATAGTTCTAAGAGCATAATTAAGAAGAATCGTTGTAATAGATTCTTTTATATTATTTTCTTCTTCAAAAAGTGTATTCTGTCAAAATTTGGAGACAATAAAATATTCAGCTATAGGAAAGGATGAACTCTAGCTGTCTTGACAATATGATTGGAAATGAAGGAGTTTTTCAACCTGAAATAAATCAGAAGTTGAAAAAAAAATACTGGATGATTTCTCTTGTGTTGAATGTAAAGAAATTAAACAAAGTAAATAACAAAAATAAAACAGCAAAGCCTAGAAATATGACTGCTAATTTGAGGCTGGTAGAGTAAAGAGAGGAGGTAGCAACTGAATGGGCAGAGGCCTATGTTATCTGACAAAGGAATGTGAGTGCTTTGGTGGTGGTTGGAGTGTGGTGATGACACCTGAGTAGGTGTGAACCTATTCTCCTGAATCATATACTGTATGTAGCCAGTTTACCTCAATTAAAAAAAAAAATCAATAAAGGAATGAATGGCACCAGAACTTTTGATAGTGGGTATGCTGATATGTATATGTGTGTATGTGTGTGTGTGTGTGTGTGTGTGTGTGTACACACACACAGTTTGAAAGTGTTGTAAACCAGTGATATATCAGTAAAACATTATTTAAAAGAATAGGAATCCAAATTATTGGGTCTCACCCTGGTTCTATCCAGGAAACTTTATGATCCAGCAATTTTATGAACAAATGATTCTGATGCCCTGAAAGGTGAGGATCAGTGATGTATATAAAATCAATTCTGAGCATATCATCTCTCTTAACACCCTTTATAGTCTCTTTTGTCAAAACAATGTAAGCATACATTGTATGTTCTCCTTAACAGGTCTTCTACAATAGAGGACCAGTTTATATATCCTTATGTAGGTGTAGTATGTATTGTAGTATGTATCACAATCCCAATGGGTTACTTTCTCGTGTCCTCTTTCATTGCTGTTGCATATGCTCCCTCTCCTTCTAGAAAAGTTACTCATTCTTTAAAGCACATTAACATTTCTCTAAGTAATTCAGTCCTGTAACTTCAAGATCAAATAGTATTGAAGGATTTATATAGAAACACAGTGGGCCCTTCCCCACACTGAAAATCCAAACCTTCCTTTCTTCTAGTTCCATTCCTCAAGCAAAACCACTTTACCCATATTCTTGTGTTTAACTAAACACATATCTTTGTGTCTAATTATATTCATATAACTAATATGCAAATATTTCTATTTAAAAGTAATTTAAGAATCTTATACTATTTGCTTTGGTAGAAAGCAACTTTGGTAGAAAAAACTTGAATAGGTTAAATCTTCTTTATGAAATCATGTTGTTGGAAGTACTGTTTTCTTTATATACATTTATATTTCCTCAACTTGTTTCCTGACTAGCCCCTGACTGAAGTGGAATTAGAGTTATTGACTATGTCTTGTAATTTAAGTTTTATATTATTTTCCCAGTCTAACATACAAACACTAAAGCCTAAACATTCCAAACACTAATAAATGAAAATAAGGCAAAATGTTCAGCAGTCATGGATTCACTGTCCTCAGATATGATAATGGAAGACCATTTGAATTTCCAGAATTTCCTGCTGGCACAAGTACCACAAACCTGTTCTACTAAGTGTAGATTACTTCCAGATAAGTGTCCCAACCTCAAGTGTCGGGAGTGCCATTAGGAAGCCAAACACTACCAAGAACTTTGGAGGTAGTTAGAAGTCACTGGTAGTTAGTGTTGTGTCAACAACAATTTGTTTGATAGATCATGAGCATCAGTGCATGGAAATAGATATGGGAGTGGAAAATGACAATATAGAGAGTGATCACCAGAAACTAGCTGCTATATCTAAAGAGAAGAGGTGACATAAAGAAATCATGCTGGACATTGTAAAAATAAATGACTTCCTTCTTGATTCAGTCACAAATTTAACTGTGATCTTGGGCAGGTCACTAACTTTTCTGGGTTTTCTCTTTTCTACTTTAGAGGATGTGAAATCACACAATAATCTTGCTACTTTGTTATGAGTGTGGAATGGGATAATGTATACAAGAGCTTCCTGTAAAGAATTGCTATTATTATAAAAAAAAAAGACATAATAAATGTTATCTTAAAGCCTTGAAGTTAATGGTTGAAAGATG